CACTTGACGTTTACTAGCTGTGTGACCCTGGGCAAGTCACTTAACCCCAATTGCCTAAAAAAAAAAAATGACCAGTCTGGGTTAGTCCCAAAATTTGGGCAAAGTGACCGGGGCTGTCCCTCAGGGAGGACACGCCGAAAGCCGAAATAATTGACCTCAGCACCTGAGGAACAAGTTAAATAGGTTAAAATTCTAGCTCAAATAGTGGCTTCCTGTCCAGAAGAGTGGCTTCTCATGTGAGTTCTTACCTAGCCCAGCCTCACTCACTGAATTGAGAGTGAATTTCCTGCTGCTTGCCCTGGGCACAAAAATCACTAGTTATGGCTCTTACAATCTCAAATTTGATCAATTAGTCGCTAGGGCTTGGGCAAGGTGCAAGAGAGCTCCTGAAGAGGACTCAGATGATGATTCTTTGACTCAAATTATTTTGTGGGGTTCTTCAGATAAAGTGAGGGCCTTAGTCTTTCTAATGATCACCGGGAGGGGCTTGTGGAGAGTTTCTTGTCTTTTTTTTGGTGATGTGATGATCTCCCCAAAGATTTCTCTAGTTTTTTGAAGGTGGGGGTCCTGTTTGGCCTCTTTGAGTGCTCATGGCTGCTGCCTCTATTCTGGACATGCCTCCTCTTCCTCCTCTTTTCTAGAAACTTCCCTGCTCCATTGCTAGCCAATCCCTATTACTTCTCTGTTTTGTCTAGAGTTTAAAAAGTGATGGGGAAAATATTAATAATGCATATTACTAGCCCTATAGGAAAATATAAGGGGAAGAGGATAAGAGAAGTGGGGTGGTGATAGCAGGGAAGACAGATTGGGGGAAGGGGTATTCAGAATGCACATCATCTTGGGGTGGGGGAGGGAAAAGATGGGAAGAAATTTTAGAACTCAAAATCTTGTGGAAGTAAATGTTGAAAACTAAAAATAAATAAATTAGTTAAAAACTTAAAAGTGTGTCATGGGCACATTCCCCACTCCCTCCAGGAGAGCTGATTGTTAAAGGTTTAATATACCTTTTTCTCTACTTTCCCTCACCTCCCTTTACCTTCCAGTTCCTAGGGGCAGCTAGGTGGCTCGGTGGATAGAGCATCTGCCCTAGAGTCAGAAGGATCTGAGTTCAAATCCCACTCAGACACATAACACTTAGTAGTTGTGTGACTCTGGGCAAGTCACTTAACCCTAATTGCCTCACCACCAACAACAAAAAAAACCCCAAAAACAAACAAACACCTTCCAGCTCCTGCCTTGGCTTGAAGACCATCAAACCAGAAGTTCTGACAACTACCCTGGTTGTAACCTTAATTACTCCTGCCACCGTCCCTGGGTGTCTCAAGTAAAGCCTTAAGTCTTCCCTGGTATGGGTTAACATGTACCATTTAAAGACCTATTTCTTTAAGAATTACTGGCTTGTCTGTTTCTTTTATGACAAACCCGCAAAGTCCCCAAACTGTTGTAACAGACTAGGCCAGGGAGCAAAAACAAAATGATGGGATGGGGGCCAACCAGTGTTGGATTTCTTTCTCTTTTTTTAAACTTTATTTTTTCCCTTTATATCAAAAAACTTACTTTATGCAAGCATATCTTATCCCTTCCTCCCACTCCCCCACCTTGAGCAATAAAAAAGAAAGAAAAATAAATCCTTTTTAAACAAATACGCATTGTCCAATGAAACAAATCCCCACACTGGCCACAGGATTGAATCAGCTGGCAGATGCTCCCGTGTGTTTTCCTAACCATTTCAAATGCAATCTTGGAAATGGATCTCAGTGCCCTCAGAACGATGTTGCCTCCAGCACAGACCTCCTCTTTGTGGATCTGGTCCCATCCAGCTGCATTTCCCAGGGCCGTCCACCCTTAGAGTCCTATCTCCTTTGCTCCGCAGAGAAAGCATTGAAATGTGATGGTAGACTCCAGACTCGACTTCCCCGCGGTCTTTGATGGAGATAATGGTTTGTCGAGGAAATGCTGACCTATCTTTAGTGCATTTTTAATTTGTTTGTCGACCTTTCGGTTCCACCCTTCAATGCTCTTGGAATAATTTGGCTTCGGCGGGTCTCTTGCTGAGTTTTTTGTCTATTTGTTTTCCCCGCCCTGGCTGCTCATCTTCTCCCATCATCCTCCGCCTGAAGATCTTATAAACAAGTTTATATTCTAAATTGATGTTGTCTTTGGCTGCTGTATTGATCTCTCTACTTGGCAGGGAAATCAAGTGTTTCACCAGTATGAAGAACATGCCAAGTTGACCATGTACCATCCCATCTAGAGCTACAAGGGACTGCAGAGGCCACTTAGTTCAACTCCGGCAGTTTACAGAGGAAACTGAGGCTCAGGGAAGTAAGGGGACTTGACTAAGGTCACCTAGGTAGTTGGGTAATTGGGTACATGACAGCCCAACAGAGGTGAGATTTGAACTTGGGTTCTTGGACTCCACAGCCAGTGTTCTTTCCATTGTACCTAATGCCTCCAAGTAAATCGATTAATTCCAAAGGTAGATTTGGAATAATCGTTGCTCGATTGCCAATATGGGTCAGCTAGGTGGTACAGTGGATAGAGCACTGGTCTTGGAGTCAGGAAGGCTCATCTTCCTGAATTCAAATCCAGCCTCAAACACTTAATAGCTGTGTGACCCTGGACAAGTCACTTAACCCTGTTTGCCCCAGTTTCCTCATCTGTAAAATGAACTGGAGAAGGAAATGGCAAACCACTCCAGTGTCTTTGCCAAGAAAACCCCAAATGGAGTCATTAAGAGTCAGATTTGACTCAAAAAAAGACTGAACAACAACAAGATTATCAATATTAATAACACAAGAGGCCATCCTACTGACTATGGGAGGGAGGAGTGTCTCCGAAGATCATAGTTTCAGAATCAACTTAGCAATGAAAGGAGAGCTAAGTTTGGGGGCATCTGGAAATGGATTTGCCTCTGTGATTTCTATGCTTATGCTAGGAGTCTAACTTTGTTAACTCTATCCTGGGCATACACACACATTCACATGCATCATCTTGTATGTGAATATATACAACATATGTGCGTATATACATCTATGTATATACATGCATATAATATATTTATGTCCATAATTAAAACAATAGAGGGGTAGTGTGAGAGCAGGACATACAGCTAAGCAGTTTAATGGATACTGAGCTGGGTCTGAGATTAGGAAGACCTGAGTTCAAATCCAGCATCAGACACTACCTAGCTGTGGGACACTGGGAAGTCACTTAACCTCTCATAGCCTCAATTTCGTTGTGTGTAAAATGAGTATCAGAATAGCACCTGTGTCCCAGGGATGTAAGAATCAAATGAGTTAGCATATCTAAAGCACTTTGGAAACCTTAAGGTATTATATAAAAGCTTTTATTAGATTGTATTATCACATTATAGTATAATATTATAGTACACAGGGCTTGGAGATAGGAAGATCTGGGTTCGAATCCTACCCCTGACACGAATTGTGTGACCTTGGGTAAGTGCTTGGGTAGTCCTCTGCCCTGCAACTTGTGGTGGAGGGAGTTTCCACACCAGAAGTTCATCACATTAATGACCCTACACAGAATCTTCATTAATCATGTATGTAAAATAATAACAGCAATAAAAATAGCTAATATTCATATAGTACTTTAAGGTTTACAAAGCACTTTACAAATATCATCTCATTTTATCCTCACAACAACCACGGGAAGGAGATGCTATTATTGTCACTCCCATTTTACAGTTAAGGAAACCGAGGCAGACACTGGCTAAATGATGTGCCCAAGGTCATATAGCCAGTAAGTATCTGAGGCTGGATTTAAATTTGAGTCTTCCTGACTGCAGATCCAGTTCCTCTGTAAAGGCAATAAATAAGTGTAATTCAATCCAATCAAATAGTTATTAAGTACCTACTATGTGCAATGTGAAAGGCAGTATAGTGTAATGGATAGATAGCTAGCCTTGAAGCCAGGGAGGTCTGGATGACATATTTTGGCTGTGAGGCTGTGGACAAAGTCAGTTAAATTCCCAATGTATCAAGAAACTAAGTCTATGAGTTGCAGGGAAGGTACCAGCCCATGTTAGTAGTAAAATGGAATTCCCTATACCAGTCAAGTCACTAGCATGTGTCCAGTCCCTATCCTTACCCTAAGTACAGGGCATTGGGTTAGGTGTTGGGGATTCAAAGACAAAATGAAACACAATCCTTGCTTGCCCTCAGGTAACTTATGTTTGACTAGGAAGACAGGACAGTAAACAGGTAAGTGTACGCCTGATAATTTGAGAAGGACGTGAAGATCAATCAATCATGAGAGGAATCAGGAAAGGGCTCCCAGAGTCACTGGCTCCTGGACTGAATCTTAAAGCACGCTCAGATTCTAAAAGGAGAAAAGGAGGATGCGGTGAATGCAGGTATGGGACAGCGCATAGGCAAAGTCTGGGAGGCTGCAGATGAAAGGCTGAGTTCTAGGAACAGTAAGTAGACCAGTTTGGCTCTAGCTTGAGCGTGTGAAGGGCAGTAACATGAAATAAGCCTGGAAAGGTAATATAAACCCTAGGGATGATTATAAAGGATGACCAGGAGGAATTCACTGACACCTCATCATGGAACCGGTGAGAGAGCTGCAGCAGGGTGTGAGTGGAGGGGGCTATCTAGGGACCTCATGACTTTCTAATGAGAATTCCCTCCTCTTTTTTTTTTTTTAAAGATCCATCTTTCCTTAGGGTCTCTAGCTACCAACTACAGCTCTTCTTCTTCTTCTTCTTTCCCCCCAGTCATCAGGATTCAATTGCCTACGGAAGGGAGGGACGGAAGCCAACAGAACTGGAATTGCTGGCGGCTCCTCCTCCCTTGTATTCTCTGGCCATTGCAAAAGAGAGCAGGCTGCCAATTCCCCTCACTGTTCTACACATCTGCAAGAGATTCTGTTGAACTCCTTAACCTTTCACTTTCCCAGCCCGGAGGTGGGAAAAAATAACACTTCCTCCTTTTCTCCTCCTCCTCCTCCTCTTCCTCCTCCCTTCCCAACAGGAGAAATCTGTGCCTTAGAACTGCTGAATGCTGGCTAGTGAAGGCTAAGAGGAGCAGTCCAGGAAGGAAGAGGGGCTCCCCATGGTAGAAACAAAGAGAACATGGCCCGACACCAAAGGGAAAGCTTTTTAAGCAACCCAAGATGGAGGAATGGGGTCCACAGTAAGGTAGGAGATCGACTGACTAAAGGATGGAGTCTTGCCAGACTTTAGTAATCTGATAAGGCACCCAGCCCATCTAGCTTGATATATATCCCTCAGATTTTAGGGATGGGACCTATGCCTACAGGACCCCCCCACCCCAAGCCGTGCATGGCTCACACTGTTTTTTCACATCAATCGCTTTCTTTCTCCTTCCCTTTCCCTGCTCCTTCTAGCAATGCTGCAGGGATCTCTGCATCCCCCTGCCTCTCACCAATTCTTTCCAAGTCTGCTGGATTAGAGAAGATGTCTTGGATTTATTAAAATCAGTCACATATTGAGACCAGATGCTGCCCTGAACTTGAGGTGGCCATCATTAAAATCAAGTGTACACACACACACACACACACACACACACACACACACACACACACACACACA